ACACATAAAACAACTCTAGGTTATCAGCAACCCTGGAGACTACCCGAAGTCTCAGTGGGCAAACAACATGTCATGTGGGTTATCAAAAACCCTGGACTCTACCCGAAGTCTCAACATATGTAAACAACACAAAAAAAGTAATAACACTTAGACCCAGTTGGTCGCCACATAAATATACAACTATTCTACCCCACAGGTAAGAATAAGTGAGGAGACTCACCCGACACCGATGACTGATAGAACTCACACCTGAACTAGACTCCGCCTTGAAAAGGTGCACAAAAAGATGGAGTTTCTGGATCTAAAAGCTAGAATGCACCACCTCCACTTGAAATATCTTCCTTCTAACCCCAAACACACAAGAATCACTTTCCAAGCTTCAAAACTCTCCTTCACCTACTAGGGTTAGATTTTAGGGTTTGGGGAATATGGAGGCTGGTCATGAGAAGGTCCAAGAGGGTTTATTTATGATTAAGTAGTGGTCACACCTAATGAATTATGGTTTGGAAACAACACATGTACGCCCGACGTACGCCCAACGTACTCACATTTTGATCCGTCCCAAAATTGTTTGACTTACACCAGACGTATCCCTAGTACGCCCAACGTACATACTTGATATGCAATCTAAAAAGAAATACAAGGGCTGAAATGAAAATACCTGCAACGAGTGTTATACTTTTTGTCTTAAATCATTAATACATATTTCCAACTTTCAAATCTAAACTCTAACAATGTCTAAATGGATAAGGTTTCCAACTTTATTCATTAAGACATGCTACAACCACCAACATCTAAGCTTTTTGCACTCTAAATGTCCTAAGGCGTCTCCAAGGCTTACATGGCTTGAAAAGAGGGTTAAAGGTCCAAAATTTATCAACTCATAAGGCTCTAGAAGCATCATAGAGTGCATGGAAGGTGTTGGAGACTTGGAGTCCATCCAACACCAAGATCTCACACTAAAAGGCAAAATAAAACATAAAAGGGGCATAAGCGAAGATCTAACAAACTAAAGATCAAGATGGAAGCTTTTCACTCAAAATGGTTCAGAAATGAGATGGATTTGCTAGATCTACTATTGAGCTCTTCACCAAAACACTTTGCGAACAACTTGATCTTCAACTCCACACCAAGCCATGAGAAATAAGCCTTTAATGAAGTAAACAAGCTCAAAATGATGAAGAGAGAGTCAGGGTTTCTCTAGAATTCGTTCAAGGGTGGAGGAGCCTGAGAAATGACAAACCCTAAGGGTCAAGACCATAAGTGTGTCACACTCTATCTTCCTAACTAGTAGTTACATGTGTGGTAGGAGTTTGAGTGTTGTCTTTCATTTTCTTCAAACCATGTTTTTCATAAGGTTCCATACTTCATTTAATGACTAGGTTTGAATTGGTACACGAGTGAGAGTATATAAGGAATAGAACGAGGCAAAAACTAGATAGTTTTTCCTCATATTTCTTCTTCTCTTTTCTTGCTAAAACCGAGAGCTCCTTAAGCTCTCCTATCTTCTCCTTCTTACATGGTGTGGTGAAGATTAAAGCTCTTAAGTTGCTTCTCCTTTTAAGGTTCATTTGGTATGAACTTTCAAGGTTTAAGAACAACTTATATACAAGTGAAGACTAACATCTTTGGTAGTTGATCCTTGCTTGGTGGACAGGGGCGGAACACAAACAAGAGAACTAGGGGCCGAAGACTAAGGTGTTGTTTGTTTTTTGTCTGCAGATCTGCGTGGCCTCTTCTGTCTGCGCCGCGCAGACCACGCGCAGACATTAGTCTTCGCAGACTGTTTGTTTTTTTGAAGACGGTAGACCTAAAAATGTCTGCGCGCCCTCTTCTTGGCGCAGATGTGGACCAGAGTCTTCTAACATCTTCAGACATCTTCTAGCCTAAAAAACACATATATCTTTATTTTTTTTTAAGTTTTCTTTTTACATTTATATTTTTTTCCAACTTTATTAATGATAAACAATTTGAAAAAAAATTACAATACTGAAAAAAAAAATGTTCGACGACACAAAAATGATATTATTGACAAATTTATAAATATAGATTTATTACAATAATAGTTGTTGAAGTTGTTTATATAAATATGAAAAAAAATCATAATATATATTCTTATATTTTTTTTGCCAAATTTTGTAAAACATTATTTAATACAATATCGTCAATTTCTCGGGAAAATATTTATGGTACGTTTTTAATAGATTTAATTGAAAAAATCGAATTTTATTTCCATCTATTTATGTATCAAATTCTTTGATCCTTAATTATAATGTTTAGTTATAACTTTGCAACCAAAGTTGTTGGTTTTATCAAATATATACGTTAATTCATACCATTTTTATTTTTATTTTTATTTTTTATACAATAATACATAAAAGTTGATATAGATTTGTTAATTATTTATAACAAAGTCATAAAAATATTAAAAAATCACTTTGAAGTTTTAAAAAAATCAGCTTATTTAGATTCAGTTTATTTTAGTAGCCCGCAGATGTTAAAAAAACAAACAGTCTTCTTTTTTCAGACTGCAGACGTTTGGTCCACCTCTTCTACTGCAGAGGTCTACAGATGTGGTCCGCAGACTGCAGACATTTTGTCTCAGAAAAAACAAACAGCACCTAAATAATTAAAAGAAAAACTTTGTTACAACCCTTAACATTTTTACAGTTTTACTGCTACACTACTTCCATTTTCTTTCAAAGTTCATCATCTCACAAGAGAAAGGAAAAAAGAAAGGACACGAGGTTAGAGAGAGAGAGAGAGAGAGAGAGAGACTTACAAGTCCGACAATGAGAGTAAGAGCCAGAGAGCACGAAGGTCATCACAAGTCCGTTGAAGAGGAAGCACTGGTCATCGAGATTGTTGGTCGGAATAGCAATCGTTGAGCGGTAGAGAGGGCTGAAGAGTGACAGAGACCGCACAAAGATTAGTCAAGAGACAGAGACCGAACGCCGAAGAGGAATTAGGGGAGGCTGTCGGCAAAAGGCGAGATGGAGTGGCGAGCACTCCGGCCTCTGGGACCAACGATATTTTCTGGTGAGCAGTTTTTTACGGCAACACTGATGATATGGTTTTGTACTTTCTCAAACATTGTGCTGATAAATTGTATATTAAAAATAGTTTATTGACTTTTTATAAAGTTTTAACTTCCAAATCCGTTGATATCCTAATTTTATTAGTATTCGTTTTGATTTCTTTAGTGATTTTCTAGATCTTGGTTTGACTATTTGTTAGTTTCCTTAGTTAAGCGATAAGATAATTAAAGAAGAAATATTTTTTCTGGTTTTTTGGAGTTAAGTTGTTATCAAATTCTATTTGTTGTATTACATATATACATGTATCTATAATAAACCAGGGGCCAGGAGGGTAGTAAAAAAAATAAAACCAAGCCTATATCTATATAGATACGTGTATTAAGTAAAAGAATCGTGGAGCCATGGCCCCCTAGCCCTATAGAGCCTCCGTCACTGTTGGTGGATACATTACAAAGAGCTTATTCTTTGGAGCTTTGTGTCATCTTCATCAACTTCCAATCTCACATGAGAATCAAATACGTCAAAGGTTGTATTTTTTTTTCTTTCTATGGTTGATTTAATATTTCCATGATTGCAAAATAATCATTGATGTGTTAAAATGGTTTTAAGTTTATTCTAATTAAAGATTCCGTTGTTGTTATTAGCGTTTTTGGGAAAAAATATTTCGAATAAAACCCAACAATAACCTGGTCTTTACACTAAATTATCCGGACCACTCCCGATACTAGACCGGTCCCGAAATTTCTATATGGGTTTGGTTCCAATGCTTAGGTTGGCCTAAAGAAAACCCGATACTAAAGACTTTGGTACTAGTCCAAGACCACATTCATCCATAGGGCAGGGATGGGAGTAGGGCAAATGGGCCTAGTTATTTATTTAATAACTATAAACAATAATATTAATAGTAAAAATAATAATAAGAATAAGAAAAGACAAAAAGAAGGGTAATCTTAATTTTTTTACATGTCTTCTTCCAAGGAATGGGTTAAGGAGGGACCAAAACTGTAAGATTTGAAAACCAAAAGAACCTTTGGTATCAATTTTACAAAACTAGCAAGTGATCTCTAGCTTAGCTGGGTTGATGCATCGAGTTTTATATCCATGTGGAGTATGAGGTTGGTAGTCCGATTCCTTTAAACTACATCTTGTGGTGCCACTTGTGGGGAATTTTTCCCTAGAAATCCCTATGGGGGCTAGGTTTGCCCTGTAAAGGAGCTTAACCGGGGTGCTCGTTGAAATATTGCGAGTAGACTTCCACTTAATTCGTTTGCCGTTTCCAAAAAAAAAATCAAGTTTACAAAACTACGATAAAAGTTGAAAGAAAAATGCTTACCATATTAACAATTTTACAGAACTATCATAAAAGTTGAAAGAAAAATGCTTACCATATTAACAATTTTACAGAACTATCATAAAAGTTGAAAGAAAAATGCTTACCATATTAACAATTTTACAAAACTATCATAAAAGTTGAAAGAAAAATGCTTAGCAGATAAAACCATAACTGCAATTTCATCTAATTTATTTTAAGTTAAATCATAAAAGAAACTAAATATTATATTATTTACCTAATTTGGGTGGGGCGAAAAGAAAACGCCATTATCATGATTATTGTGGGAATCATTAGTTTGGTATCAATTATGATTTATGACGCATGATTGGAGTTGTTTGGCGCGCATAGCACCAAAATGCAAGTCCGTAGTGTCCTAAGAATTGACTATTGCGATCATTATTGTAACCACAAAGAGAATTTTAAATGGAGTCGTATAGTTTTGTGTTATTGTGTATGGGCAAAGACAAAACGATAATGAATCATGACATGATCGTAATATGTTCATGACCTTGGATACGTGTTGTTTGTCTGGTTGACGTGGAATCTACACAGCATGGGTCCACCTGCGACGCCGCCACCAGCCAGCCTATAGCACATTAGCACATGAATCATGAATCCCCACCGTTTGTATCTCTTTCGCTCGATTTAGACAAGCAAAGATTGAAAGATGATAAACTGAATTCTCACCTACTCAAAGCAACACCGGAAATACGCCGTCTCCGGTAATGCTCGACTCGATTTAGTCGTCGGAGTTCGATTTAGTCTCCGGCGGAGTCAATTCTGTACATCAGAAGTTCAGAACCACCGGTTTCTCTTGTCAGAGAGAATGGGGATGTCGTGGGAAGACGTCGTTTTGATCGAGGAACGGAAAAGTTCCGACGAACCAACCGTCGTCACGGTGAACTGCCCCGACAAGCCTGGGCTCGGCTGTGACCTTGTACGGAATGTACTCGAATTCGGACTCTATGTCACCCGTGGAGGTTTCCCCTTCTTCTCTCTACTCCTATTGTAACTAATTGTAACCATGTTATGTTTAAATCACCTGTTGAGATTCCTTGATTTAGTATGAATTTCATAATCTCAACATTCAAGTTTCAACAACGAACCCTAAGATTTCTTTCTGCATCAGATTTTTCTACAGATGGGAAATGGTGTTACATCGTGTTATGGGTTGTTTCGAGGCCATGCTCGCTGAAAATTGATTGGGAGAGCTTAAAACAGCGGCTTTTATCTTGTTGTCCATCGTTTTTGCCTGCGTTTTATCTCAATCAATTACCCGATTCTTCTAAACCACCTCCAATTTATCTGTTAAAGGTCTTCTCTCTTGATCGAAAAGGATTAATCCATGGTAACCACTAACACCATTCTGTTTTTTTTTTTTTTTTTTTTTTTCCTTCTGAAACTTCATTGACATATAACATTCCAATTTTATAGATGTCACACAAGTTCTTTGTGAACTCGAGCTCACAATTCAAAGCTTAAAAGTAATGACAAACCCAGATGGCAAGGTCTTGGACCTCTTCTTTATCACCGATCACTTGTAAGCCTTTTTGAAATCTTATATTTAGACATGTGATGTGAAGTAATTGAAATAACATTTGTTGATGTTGAATATTTTTTTTAGGGATTTATTGCATACAAAAATTAGAAGAGAAGAAACATGTGAGCATCTAAGTAGCGTGTTAGGAGAGTATTGTATAAGCTGTGAACTTGAGTTATCAGGGCCAGAATATGAAAGCCAAAAAGGGTTCACTTCAATTTCAGAAGAAATTGCTGATGAATTGTTTAGTTTTCAACTTGCCACTAAGGAAGATGATCGATCACAAGCTGTTATAACGGTTGATAATTTAATGAGTCCAGCTCATACTTTGCTTCAAATACAATGCCTTGATCAGAAAGCTCTCATCTATGACATTTTAAAGATCTCTAAAGACTGCAATATCCAGGTATATATACTCATCTTGACTTCCATCACATTTAAAAAATACTATTTTATTTGTTTGATGTTTGAAATGAATAGGTTATCGTGTTTTTATTCAGATTGCATATGGAAGAATCTCTAGTAGTGTGAAAGGGTACCGAAGTTTGGACTTGTTTATACAAAAAGATGATGGGAAAAAGATATTGGATAAGGAAAACCAAGTTGCTTTATGTTCACGTCTAAAAGAAGAGATGTTACATCCATTAAGAGTCATTATCACAAACCGTGGCCCTGATACAGAACTTTTTGTTGCTAATCCTGTTGAGCTTTCCGGGAAGGGAAGGCCACGTGTTTTTTATGATGTCACATTTGCATTGAAGACACTCGGAATATGCATCTTCTCTGTGAGTTGCATAGCATTGTACTTTTTTTTCTTATTAATTATGCGTTTAAAAGTTTATGATTATAATTGTGTAAATTGTTTTGTATTTGGATGACATTGTTATAATTGGGTGTTGCAGGCTGAAGTTGGCAGACACTCGACTGCAGAGCGTGAGTGGGAAGTTTACAGGTTCCGATTGGATGAAACTCGAGGATTTGCGTTAATGAGTAAGAAAGCTAAGATGGATGTAGTTGATAAGGTGAGAAGAACACTAATGGGATGGTGAATGAGATCACAAGAGTTCATCATGGATTTATGGCTATGAATGTGTTGTTATTGGTGACTTAATTTTGACCTTGTGATTTGTGCATGCTTTGGTTATAAATATTATGGTTGTTGTACCATGATCAAGTTTAATATTTTCGTGTTCTATGTTTAATTTTATCATCTATGGGTCATGAGAAGTGATAGAGCAATAATTAATCTCTCCAAAAATTGGAACGATATAAATACATAACACATGCTAGAATGGTGCATTTAACACATATACATAGATATTTGGACTTTTAAGGGTGGTTTTGTTGTAGGTGTATTTAAAAAAATGTAAAACCGAAAATAGGTCAATCATATCAAATTTTAGTGTAATTGAACCAAAATCTTCTTTACTTTTCAATTAGGTGGCGATTTACGATTTTACTTGCACACAATTAGTCGAAAAAATTTTAAAATTTAAAGAATTATGTTTTGTATACTACTGATACTGTTCTAACCAAAAGTCACACCAATTTAAGATATTTAAGACATTTGTAGACGAAGAAAAGGAGAATTAAGCTAATTTTCATAAGCTTTTTCCAAATATCAATTTCGCAACCTTCAGTGCAAAACGGGCCATAGCAATGGATGCGCTTTGGTCTTCTTACGCGTAGTTCCGGAGCGTAAGCAAAGAAAATAAGGGGTTGTTTGTTTTTTTTTGTGCAGATCTGCGCAACCACTTTTGTCTGCACTGCGCAGACAACGCGCAAACATATGCTCTTGCAGAGTGTTTGTTTTTTGGAAGTGCACATATCAAAAAACGTCTGCACGAGGTCTTCTTGGCGCAGACATGGGTCACTGTCTTCAAAGGTTTTCAGGCCTCATTTTAACCTAAACCAAAAAAAAAAGGTCGCCTATCTTTTTTCCCTTTTTCATTTTTTTGCTAAAATGCATTTTTTTTATGTTTATAACATAAAATTAATTTGAAAAATCAGTTTATTTCAGTACCTGCAGACGTAAAAAAACAAACAGACTTATTATTGCAGACTGCAGACATTTGGTCCACCTATTCTACTGCAGAGGCTTGCAGATATGGTCCGCAGACTGCAGACATTTTGACTTCAGAAAAACAAACAACACCTAAGAGAAGAAAAAAGAAAGTAAGGAAATAAAAAAGATAAAGGAAAAAAAATTGACTTTTGTGTTCCCGATAGGGGTGACCGCAGTGCGGTTCGGTGCGGTTATTGGCCAAAACCTCACCACTAACCGCAAATGCGGTTAATCCATTTTCAAAACCGGTTGGTGCGGTTAGACGGTTATTTTTGCGGTGCGGTTTTGTTTTTTTGTGTTTCGGTTATTAACCGCATGGATTTGGTGCGGTTATCTTGTGTGGTTTTTAACCACACTTTACAGTTCAAACAGTTTTAAGAGTTTAAACATATTACTTCTAATAATAAAAAACCATAAGGTATATGACAATTAACTTAAATTACAAACAACTAATATCTTAAAAACATTAAATCACCAGTAATTAACAATAAATATCTTAAAATTGTCAAATTTCATCATTTTCCAAAGTTTTTTTTTGGAAAGGGAACTTCTTTAACGAGGGTTTCCGGGTCAGCTTTCGCGCACCGACTAATCCCCCGCTGCAAACATGAAGCTTTGCCTCATGCCCTGGAGTCACTGCAGGCGAACCTCCATGGCCACAAGGGCTGAGTGGTGCCAGGATTTTTGTCTTCTACAATTTTATCCTTCTTTCATCCATGAAACTTGTCTTATTTTTAATATTTAATATATTAATAATTAATAATTTTTTTTATATAATACATGTGGTGCGGTGCGGTTTTTTTGCGGTTTTTGAAAACTAATAACCGCACCGCACCGCAAGTTTGCGGTTTTTGAAAAACAGAAAACCTCACCATCGGTTTTTATTGCGGTTGCGGTTAATCAGTTGCGGTTTATATGGTTTTTGCGGTTATTTTTAGTTGCGGTGCGGTTTTTGCTCACCCCTAGTTCCCGAGTAGAAAAGAAGTGGATGGAAATTAATCATTTTGTTTTTTTCTTTTTTTTCAAGTCCTTCCAAATCGGAAGGAAAGTTATAAAGGAAAGTGATCATTCTGTTGGATAATTATGAGACCACTTCATAAATACGTAGGATATATTATTAAATCCAATTATTATGATAAAGATATAAATTGTTGATTGACCGATTTATAGAATATTAACTTACCTTGTGCAGGGTCGGCCCCGAGAATTTAGAGGCCCTCTGCAATTTAGTTAAAAGGGCCTTAAATCTTGAAAATTCTAAAAAAATAAACAATAAAAGTTCTAATCATTTAAACTCGTACTATATATAAAAGACAAAATTTCATTCCAGATGGTACATTGATACAAAAAAAAACTCTTTTCTGCTTATAAATTGTATTATTCAAACCAAACTTTTCTATAATAGATGTATTAGCATAACACCTTATTTGCAGTTTTCTCTTTTCCTGTTCTTAGGAAAATCAAATCAAATTCACAAAAAGTGAAATGTGAAAATCTGAATCAGAAAGATAGAAAAATAAAATTTGGGATGACTGGAATTTAAAATTCAAAAGTGATGATCTGATATAATCGTAATTGTTAAATACCATTTCAAAATATGTATAATCTACAACTGGTAACCTTATTTGTAGTTTACGTATTAAAAAACATATAAAATAGATTCTGGATGACTGTCCTACTAAAGCTAAAAATTCTGTAAAAATCAAAATTAGAAGAGATGTTAAAATCATAATTAAATACAACATTTATCTCTTAAAAATGAAAATCAGAAAGGATGAATGATAAATAAAAAACGTATAATACATCATATTATTTAGAAATAAAGGAATCAAAAACTCTTAGACTTTTGATAAACCAAATGCATTACTCTAAAAACCTAGTAAATCTAAATCGAAAACATACTCTAAAATGTAAAAAAATAAAAATAAAAGATATAAAGATATACTCATTTACTTACAACTTATAAGATGTCAAGAAATAAGAGAATAAGTTCAGAGCAATGTTGTTGTCTTGTGGTTTGAAAGGAAGAAGAAGTGCCGAAGACAACGATTTTTTCACATAAGGGTGGGTCATGGTTAAAGGCTGCTATTCAAGAACAGGAAGAGTGTTGAAGACTACGAATTTTTAAGAACAGGGGATCCAAGATGCAGAAATTGTTACTGTATTGCTGAAGCCTTGAAGGATGCGATATTTTAAATCTGGAGATATCCTAGGATTATGAGATCGTTACCAAGAATTGAATCGTTCCCCACCATCAATTGCTTTATCTTCATGTGTGCGACTGGAAACGAGGCAGTATTAAAATCGATTTTAATCATGATCCCGCTTTCAATTTTGATTCTCTTTGATTTGGATGAGAACGTGTTTTGGTTTTCGACTTTTCGGTGAAGAGGAGAAGTGCCCTAATGGATGTACTACTACATTAGGCTAAAAAATTGGGTCCCAGGTGAAGGATGGGCCCTGTTCAAGGGCACCTCCTGAACTTGCCTTGGGTCGGCCCCGACCTTGTGGGTTGAGTTCCCGGTTTGACTCAAGATCCTCAAGATCCCTTCCATCTCTCACATTAGGGTATATCTCCATCTATATATACATGTGATTAGGAGCAATCAAGACATACAAAAATACACAGAGAAATTCGTTTTCTTTATTACCGAGGGTTTGAGAGGTGGTCTTGAGATCAACTGGAAAACTCAACTCTAGTTATTCAGATTCGAAGATCATAATGAAATCAGGTATGTAATCGTTCTTTCATGTTTAAGTTTTCTTTTAATCAGATTCGAGATTAAAGATCCAAAGTTATGCTTCCACGTTTTATGTTTTGGTTATCAAAATACCCTACACATTCTACTTCCTTACGCGTAATTCCTGAGTTTAAGTAAAGAAAAGAAAAGAAAGCAACGAAAGAAAAGAAGATAAAGGAAAAGAAAATAAATTTGTCTTTTGTATTCCTGATTTGAAAAGAAATGAAAGGAAATTTAATCATTTTGTTCTTTTTTCCAAATCCATCTAAACCAGAAGGAAAGTTGGGAGGGAAAATGATCAATCCACTTCCTTTTTTTAATGAAACTGGGAAACATTTTTTTTTACTTTCTTCTCATTTCCACTCATTTCCTTTCTTTTCTCTAGTTAAGTTGAACTCGGAAACGAAAGCGTATTGATTTGACCTCATAAGTGGGACCACCACCCAATATCATGTTGCCACCTAGAGATGTGAAACAGGCCACAATGATTAGGGGTGGCAATCCTCGACTCAACCCGTAACCCGACACTGACCCAACACGAAAATAAACGAGTTTGGGTTGAGATTTTTTACCCGACAACCCGTTTGTTTCATGGGTTGGGTTGGGTTACCTATTTGGGTTCGCGGGTCAACCCGCCAACCCGATTATATATATATATATATATATATATATATATATATATATATATATATATATTTATATATATATATATATATATATATATATATAATGTTTAAAAAATATATTTAATTATTTATCAGTTTTGAATATTTGATTATCGTTTAATCGTTTTCCGAATTCCAAAACTGCAAAACAACTTCGAGTCGACTTAGCGTGCCCTGACCCCTAATCAAAAAGAAATTCAGTCTTCAGTCTCCAAACTCACGACTCTGTGTCTCCCGTCTCTGTCGATTGAGGCATCGAGTCATCGATTGTTGCAGTGTCACACGCACACCACTTGTCTTCTCGTCCTCCGGCTGTCGCACACCACTTGTTGTCGTCACTCTTGTTTATGACTTTATGCTTATGACTTTATGTTGAATATTTAAGACTTTATGACTTCATTTTATTTGTATTTTTTTATTTCATTTTTAAATATGTTGCTTATTAAATGCGTTATACGGGTTGGGTTCGACCCACTAACCCATGAACCCATACTTATATGGGTTGGGTTGGGTTGATGTTTACAACCCGCCAACCCACCAACCCATATATTATATGAGTTGAGTTGGGTCAATGTATTTTGACCCGCCAACCCGTCAACCCGTGACCCGCCAACCCAAACCCAACCCAATTGTCAGGCCTAAGTCAGTGATACCTCAATTTAAACTAAATTATTTTTTATATATA